AGCTTTTCTTAATTGATAGCCCCCAAAGTTCACTCCCCTCAGCCTTTTGTCTGTCAGTTGGCAGAGGATCCACCAGGTAGACACACTTCTATTGGTCTACAAATTAAAAAAAAAAAAAAAAACCAAACAAAAAAACCCACGACACACTAAAAATCATCTGAGAGGCTGAATCCGATCAGTCAGGCCTGTCTCCATGAGTGCAGGGTGTTCATGCCAGTCACTGTAACAACAGGCTGGAAACGCCACGCGTTCCTGAGAATATCAAAGCCACTTCCTTGAGATTTCTTGCACTAAACAGAATTATTTCTCTATGATTATCTACAGAAACAATTCCTTCTTTATATTTAATACCTCCCTAAATACTTCAGCCTAATAAATTAAGAAGACTGAAAATCAAACTGGGTCACTGGTAGACTGAATTACTAAAAACGGAATCTACTGTTCTTTACATCAAGTATAAAATTAAGCAAAACAAGATATAATTATGCTCAAAACAAGCCAGCAAAGATCTCTGAAGTAAAGACAGACATTTAACCTGACACATCAACTTTCTCTCTCACGCTATATAATAAAAGCCTAATATGCTAAATGTCTGGTCGTCGGTTCAACCAATCAAAGCATAATATGCTAATGATACAGGGGGGCAGACACTGCTGGGGTCCGGCTGATTGGGATGGAGTGAGATGGGCCAGATGCGCCCTGGAACCCTCCTACGGTCCCTCCCCAGCTGGCCAACCTCCCGCGTCCCTCCCTGGCCCTGATCGTGCACCGGTGGTGTCCCTCGGCCTGGCCTGCACCCTCTCACAATCCAGGACCCCTAGGGGAAGTCAGCTGGTTTCAGCCTGATCCCGCAGGCCAGGCCGAGGGACACCACCGGTGCACACATTCGTGCACTGGGCTGATAGTAAAGACTTAAAAACCCAGGTACTTTTCTTGTATGTATGTGAATCCCTGCTGCTATTGTTTAAAGTTCCAGTGCACACACACAAAGCAGTTCAGCGTGGCAGGATCACGGTGTCTCCACAGGCGCTGCAAGGGGACTCTGACCAGGAAGTGACTGTAGCTTAGATTTTCTAAAACGACTGAAACAGATGTGACAGGGTCTAACTCTTGGTTGATTAGAAAGAATTCTCTACTCCAGGTAATCAAGGTGGGTTTTTTTTTTTTTTTACCAGGAGTGTAAGTTTTAATGTCAAGTGTCTTAAAAATAAAATATGGATATCCCTTTAAAATACCTAAGAAATGCAAAAGTACGTTTGAATGCGCCAATAACAAATACCCTGCTTTGAAAAGTTCACGGAGAAATATCAAACATAGGAAGCTGCCACAAACCAAAAGATGTGCACAGCTGGAAATTAACTGGTCAGGTCCTAGAGTCATTTTATAAATGAGATCGCTACATCTGCCAGAAAGTAAATGATGATGGGGTATTCAAAACTCCTCAAAGAAGACTGTACGACAAGAAAGTGCAAAAAATATGTCCTTTAAAAAATAAGCTAGTCAAATAAACACGCCCACAAAGACAAACTCTGAAACTACCCGGGTCGTTAAGAACAGACAACCCAACGAAATCCAGCAACGATGACCAGTGGGACAGCAACGCGAGTTTGGCTTAACATTCAGAAACCCACTCGGTGTCCGTGACTCAACACCGTCCACCTTGGTGCTCCGCAGCTCCACCCAGAGCCAGGCAATCCGACCCAAGTCCCCGAGGACGACGCTGCAGAAACTGATCCCATGGATCCTGACATGTCTATGGAAACCCAAAGGACTCAGAACAGCAAGAAGACCGGGAAGCAGTACCTCCTGATCTTGAAACTTGCCACAAAGCTACCATCCTCAGACCGGCTGATGCTGGCTACAGACGGACAGGTCAACAGCAAGAAAACAGTTCAGAAACAGCCCTACTGTTATGGTCAGATGATTTTCAACAAAAGCGCCAGAGCAATCAAATGGGAAAACAAGAGTCTCTTCCATCAACGACCCGGGACAGTCAGGCACCCACAAGCAACGCAAATGGTTTTACTGCCTCACACCTTCAACAAAAATCAGCTCAAAACAGATCATAAGACACTAAATGTAAAAGCTGGAACTGTAAAATTCTTAGACAAACATAGGAATAATGCTTTCAAATGTTACTTTTAAAATTTAAAACAACATGATTCATATGCTAAGGGCTCTGACGGGTAACAGACAGCGGGCAGGACAGATGGCATGTCAACAGAGCTGGCAATCCTTAGCGAGCCGAGAAGAAATGCTGAGAGGACCGAGGCGGAGAGGAAGACTGCCTCCCAGGGGCCCGTCGGAGGATCGCCCCTGAGGAGACACCGCAGCTGGAGGGCGTGACAACAGAAACTTCCCAAGTGGAAAAGAACGAGAACACGAATGGAAATGAGAGAGAGAATTCCGAACTGAGGGCTGCAGAAGATGTCTGTGCAACATCATGGAA